TGAAGTAATAGCAAACTCACTATAACAGAAAACAAAGTTTCAGAAAATATAGAGAAAGAGAATAAAGCTCAGGAAATTAGACAGTTATTGGGAAAAACTGGAATCCAAGTGAGTGTAACTAAGTGTAAGTAGCACATTCAGAGGACAGTTATCCTGAGATTGCTACATCTTCAGGATTACTGACCTACCAGAAAACTTATTAAAAATATTTGAGCACTCTATTTCAGGAAATCATTTTTAAAATAAATAATATACACACATAGAAAGAATTCACAGTGGTCTCACCTGGGGAAAAAAAGCCTGAAGATTTAAGTCTCATAAATATATTATAATTAAACACTAATGCTCCATAATACAGGGGAAAAACAACAACCTGTAAGCTATAAAACAAATATGACATCAACGATTACAGCATGTTTCTAGAGGAAGAAGAATAGTCAGAGACTATGCTATGTGCAATGTGATGTGGAGAATGAAGAAGCAAACAAACCCAGAATTACCTAGCTAGCAAAATTCACTCTGTTGTTTTGAATTCAAGATATAGATACTTGTGAAACATTGGGACTTTGAAGAGTTCTAAGAAAGATGTCCATTGCAAAGAAATGAAAATGTTTTGAAAAACAACTAAGACTTCAAGAAAAAAACTGACATTTCTCAAATCACGATAAACTATTTGCTAACTAATATAAGAATCTTTCAGTAATAATACTGATTAAACTACTAAATGTTTTAGAAGGGTATGTTAGATAAACAAAGAAAACTCTTCAGTAGTTCAATATATTGAAACAAAGAAAAAAAATAGAAGTCCAGAAGGAGAGAGAGGGATGTCACAACGATCCCAACATCTTCCATCTTTGATTAAAGGGGAAGTCCACATTTCAAGAAATCTGTGTAATTAATGGTATGAGATAGAGGAGTTTTGTTTAGAGTTTTATTGATTTGGGGTTAATAATGGTAATAATAAGAAAAGGAAAATGCTATTCGTTTCTGATCAACTGAATTTAATGTAGAATGATGGAAAGACAAATTTATCAATTTTAATGCTAAGTGCAAATGAACTGAACTTGCTAATAAAGGTTTGTTGTTGTCTGTCCTTCAAAAAGGACCAGTGACATCAGGAGGGTGATGTCTTGACTTGCAAGTGAATTGGATTTAAGTGAGGCAGAGCTGTACAAAGTCATCAGCCTCACTCTCTCCTCCGGAGTCCTTGGAGTTCAGTGGTAAAACATAAGTCAAGATGACTGGTGATGGTAATGCTAATAGAAGGACAGAGGGGGTATCTAGTATATTGAATGTCAGAATACAGTGATATTTGCATACAGATATAAGCACGATGAATGAAAAAAAAAAGAGTTGATTTAGATTTAAAGTGAAATCCAGAGGAGCCATGATGAAACATGCTATCTACTTCCTTACAGAAGGGATGAACTCAAGGTACAGTTTGAGCCATATACATTTTTGGATATGGCCCATTTGGGAATTAGTTTTGCTTGACTATGTATATTTGTTACAGTAGTTTTTTGTTGTTGCTGTTGTTGTCATTGGGGGAAGGCGGAGGAAGAGAAAATATTTTTGTCAACTGAAAAAAATTGTAATTTAATTTTTAAAAATAAAGGGAAAGATAGGTATTAAATTTATTGTGTTTCTTATCTACTCATGAGGAGTGTTGTTTATACATTGTTTATACAGGACAAAACTGAATTCAAACGAGTAAGCATTAAGAGAACTAAATAGGAACATTATATTATGCTCAAAGGTTCTATTCAGAATGAGAATATAACAGTTTTAAATTTATATGGACCAAGAGGAAATAGTCACAAGCAAAACAGACTTCCTAATGCTAAAGGGGAAATTAAAAGAAAAAAAAAGAAAAAGAAAAACAAGAAACTAAAAGGTAAGGGAGTGCCCATCCATTGGGGAATGGATGAAGCAAATGTGTATATATATATATATATATATATATATATATATATACACACACACATACATACATACACACATAGATATATTCCATTTTTTCAATGAAGAGAAAGTTCAAATCAAAATCAACAAAAGCATAAATCTGCTTCAAAAGACCATAAGCACCACTCAAAAATTAGTGAGTACAATACACACAAAAAAGGTCAAACTTGATGAAGTGCAAATTAAATATCAATGCAGGCAGGATCCGCCCCGTCATTATTAACATCCAGTCACAACACTGATGAGGTACATGTCAATTACCATGCTACATGAAGTTGATTTAAATTATGTAAACTCAAAGTTAAACAATCTTTACATGAACTTGCAACATATCATTTGGATATCAAAATATCTGTTATATTTCTTGATGTTATTCATTTTGGTAAGTACCAAAGTAAAAACAAAAAAAAATGTCATTTTTCTTTGTAATATCATAAAGATAAAACAAATGCATTTCATGACAAAAATTTCCATCTGAAACTTGCCTATTTGGTCAAATTTTTAAATTGAATACTCTTAATTAAATTAATGCAAGATCCTTAAATGATACAAAAAGATAAGGTGAACTACATTTATGAAAAAATAGGGGGCTATGAATAATAAATTTAAAAGAATATTTTTAAGTGTTTCCTGATTTAAAAAATACTTGTCACACAAATGAAATATAAGAAAATAAAGATCTGTTTATTAATCACCTGACAGGTCTACAGAAGCAATTCTCACTTTATTAAAAAAACAAAACAAAACTATAATTCAATCTCTCCTAGCCACACTCTTGATTCTCCAGACTTTTCCCATAGCCATCTCATGCTGGAGATACTAGCTAGTTATCTAAATACACGGATAAGGAACCTGTTTGCCACAGACTAATATAATACATTAGGCCTTATTCTATTTGAATAAGAACAGTTAATAAATAGACATGATAATATACTGAAACAAACATTTGTACTTTTAAAAATTCTGATGTTTTGACTATGAGAGAATACAGATTTTTTTCGTGAACAAAACAACAGAAATTTATCCCATCTAATTTGTGAAAAATGGGGTTTTCTCCCATAGCTATTAAACATGATTTTGATAAGCTGTTGAAAAATAATTAAGTAGCCATATAATAATAATAACAATAGTTAGCATGTTTATAGTTTGCAAAGTGCCTTACCTATGTCACTTTATTTGATCCTCAAAGCAACCTTGTGAAGTAGAGTCCATTGCTAAATTTTTTAATTTTAATTTTTCTTTTGCTTTTTGGTGAGGCAATTGGGGTTAAGTGACTTGCCCAGGGTCACACAGCTAGTGTCAAGTGTCTGAGGTTGGATTTGAACTATTGCTATATTTTACATGTCCATTTTACAGCTGAGGAAACTGAAGCTGACAGAGTTTTAGGTGATTTGGCTATGGTTATACAACCAGTAAGTACCTGAGACAATATTTGAGCTCTAGTCTTCCAGCCTCTAAATTTAATCCTATGCATACGCCACCTAGTGGCAAAAATCATTTATGAAAAACTGAACCCCCAAGTAAACCCATCAATCACATTAGTGTGCTATAAACATGTAAGTGACAAAGGATATAGCTGTTATTTTTATTACTTTTTATTTTATTAATTTTCATATTTATGCTAGTATTATAATAAATTCTGTTTTCGAATAAAATACAAGCTAAGAAAATCATTAATATAGCTTAGTTTATGAAAAGGGGGAGAAAAATATTTTCTTATGAAAGGGGACTAACACTACATCCATTTTGGAAATCATCAGTTTACACCGTACTCCGTATTTCAAAGATCTGTAATTTTATTAGTACTCTCTCTACTGAAGCTGATTGCAGTCCTTCTGTCTCTTATTAAATGGTCTTTCACAGTTTCTGTGGTTTAAAAAAAATCATAATTTTGTAGTCAATCTGCTGAAGAGATTCTGCAAGTTTAGTTAGCCTAGGTTGGGTAACCTATACTCAATTCACATCATATCACTGCTGAAATAACTGGAATAATGATGTAAATTTTTAAAAGAAATAATAGTAATAAAATAGGAAAAAAGTAATGTCTATTTGGAGTTATTAATCAGAGAAAGTTACTGGAAATAAAATTGGTAGTTCTGATTACATACATACAAAGAGGTTTTATTTTTTTAAAAAATCTACTATCTTTAAAATAAAAAGAAAAAATTTTGGAAAGAATATTTGTTACATATATGTTCATGTATCTTTATATGTACCAGGTAGTTATAAAGTTCTTGTATGGCTTTAAACTTTAATAACTTTAAATGTACACGATATAAAAATTAAAATTTTAGTTTTAAAGTAGTGGTTTGTTTTTTTTTTTTACCTTTGAAATAACCACCATCATTTGTAACACATTTTTCAAACCATTTTCCAACTTGTGGAAAACATTTTTCAGTTTCTACTTAGTAAAGAAATAACAATTAATGCAAAAGTCTCCAGACTTCCACCCCTGGATTAAAGACTCCCTGGGATGTGCCAGATTCAATCCTTTACTGCACCATTGCTCCCTGGGCTGGAGGAACCAATCAACAAACATTTATTAAGCGCCTGCTGCGTGCCAGGCATTGTGTTAAGCTTAAGAGGTACAAAGCCAAAAATGAAAGAAAATCCTGCCCTCGAGGAGCTTGCATTCTACCGGAGGAAACAGCATAGACACAGGAACACTGTGGTGGAATAAGGCAGATGGCCCCGGGTGATTCGCCGAAGTATTCTTCCTTGCCCCTGGTGTAATATGTAGGTGCCAGAGCCGTACGACTGGCACTTGCACCTTGAGCCCTGGGAAAATAACGGGAGTCTGTCCACTGGATCGCGGGGACTCAATTGCTGAATGCTCCTGTGCGCATGCGTACAGGGTTCGCTCCTGTCGATCACCTTAGCAACAAGTCCCCTGGACCAAACGATCTACCCGCGCTTGCGCAGCTGGAAGAAACGTTCCGCACGCACCTGGTTCTGCCACCAGGGCTGAAGAAGTCGTCAGTACCTTTTAGATCATTTCCGCTCACGTGGTGCCCCCGGACCAATGAGGGCGCAGGGACGGCAGGGTCGCGAGCCTCCGCTCTCCATGGCAACGGGCGGCTTCTAAACAGCTTTTCTTCGCGGGCCTCCCCTAGCCCCCGGACTTGTCGTGGTCGTCTTTGGCCTTCTCCCCTCGGCGTGACCGATTCCCTCCCGCCATGGTGAGTCCCAGCCTGCCCGAGCCCGCCGGGGCGGCGGGGGCTGCGCCCGGTGAGGGGCCGGGGCCGGGCTGGGGACATCATCCTGGCCCGGGCCTGGAGAGGCGGCCTCGTCAGGATCTCGTCCTGGATCTGGGCGGGCCGGGGCCCTCAATGCGCATCGAGGCCGACTCCTTCGTTTTACAGAGGGGGAAACTGAGGCACGGGGAGGGAGGAGGCCCCCAGAGCCCTGGTCAGCAAGCTCGGGCCGTCCATCCCTGATATCCCCACCCCCATGCCCGGGTCTCGTTCCTGCCTCCTCCAAGCTTGACCTGGGCCGGGACAGAGTTGTCCCATCCCCGCCCCCCCCACGTGCCTACACCCCTCCCCCCATGTGCCTACACCCCCTCCCCAAAAGCACCCAAAATGCTGCAAGCTGGTAAAGGGAAAGTTCCGGAATACACGTTTAGAGCTGTCATTCAGCGCATGATAGGCGCTTACTGTGTGCCAAGCACTTTGCTAAGGGCCAGGAATACAGAGAAAAGGCCCAAACAGCCCCTGCCCTCGAGGGACTTACCTTCCAGTGCCGAGATGACCAGTCTATAACTAGGGCCGTGCAAGATACAGAGAGAGTGAATGGAAAGGGCCCGTGCAGGAGAAGCCACTAGCTGCTGGGGGGACCAAGAAAAGCCTGGTGTGGAAGAAGTCCCTGGAAGGGGGTAAAGTCTAAGAAGGCTGGAAAGGTAGATGGGTGCCAGGGGGTGCAGAGGGTTAAATTCCAAACAGGATTTTATTTTCGGTCCTAGAGATGATAAGAAACCCCCGGAGTTCTTTGAGTGCATGTAAGACCTGAACTTTAGGAAAATACTCTGGCAGCTGTGTGAAGGATGGATTGAAGTGGGAAGAGACTGCAGGGAAAGTGGGAAAGTGAGGGGGAAATGATTAGGAAGCTGTTGGAGGGATCCAGGTAAGAAGTAGTGACAGCCTGAGCTAGTTAGTGGTGGCTGTGCAGTACAGAGAAGGGGAGCTATCCAGGAGACGCTGGGGAAAAGAAAGGACAAGATTTGGTAACTGGGTGGGAGGATGCTGTTCAGGATGCCTGGGGATAGGGAGGAGCATAGCTAAAAAGAGAAATCACAAAAATCCCCAGGGGAGAATGTTTCCAGCAGGAAAGGGTTAACAGTGCCAGGTGATGGAGAAAAGTCAAGAAGAATGAGCATTGAGAAAAGCCATTCAGGCTCAGCAGTTAAAAGGTCAGCAGTCACTTTGAAGAGAGTTTCGATTTATTCCTGAGGCTGGACACTAGGTTGGGAAGAGCTGAGAAGTGATCTCTGTGCACTTGCTTCGGCTTCCTCAGCCTCTGGCACTTTGGCTTCTGGCTACTCCTCCTCAGTCCCCTTTGCTCCCTCACCATTTGTGTCCTGCTCTCCAGATGCGGGTAAATGCCAGGGTCCTGTTCTGAGCCCTCTTTTTTCTCAAGTGATCTCATCGGTTCTCATGGTTTGCAGATATTATCTCTGCAGATGACTCCCAAATCTATACACAGTGTTCAGCCCTTGTCCCTATCCTGAGCTTCAGTCCCTCATCACCAACTACTTAATGGAAATTTCCAACTGAATATACTGTATCTTAAACTCAACATGTCCAAAACAGAACTCAATATCTTTCCTTTTAAAGCAGGGTTTCTTTATCTTTTTTTTTTTTTTTTTTGGTCATGGACCTCTTTGGCAGTCTGGGGAAGCCTCTTTACCCCATTCAGAATGCTTTTAGAAGTCTAAAATACCTGGGATACAAAGGAAACCAATTATATTGAAATACTGTTTTCAAGTTCATGGGCTTCAGCTTTGTGTTCCTTCTCTGACCATTCCCTCTTCATGATTTTTCTGTTTCTGTTGAGAATATTCTCATCCTTCTGGTCACCTAGGCTTACAACCAGGTGATAGCTTATAAGTTTGCCTCTTTTTTTTTTTTTTTGCATTTTTAATTTTACTTTTAAGTTCTGAACTTTACAGATACTGAACAAAAAAAAAGACTACTGGACATGAAACTATTATATATAATTTGCTATTTAAATTTTTTTTTTAATTTCAAAGTTTTTCTACTTGTCTGTGATTCGTTCTGGCCTCCCTTCTGTTCACTTATTTGCTTTAAAAAAAAAAGATTGGATGAATCTTTTTCCTTTCTTTTCCTTTCTTCCTTCCTTTCTTACTTTCTTCCTTCTCCTCTTTCTCCTTTAACTCTTCCTCTTTCTCCTTTTCTTCCTCTTGCCCTATCCCTAGATTACCTCTGTCTCCCAGCCCACCTCCCATTGAAAAGAAAAAGAAAAAAGAAACCCTTGGAACAAACATGCATTGTCAAGCAAAACAAATTCCCAAATTGGCCTTGTACAAAGATGTATATCTTATTCTGCATCTTGGGTCCACCACTTCTCTGTCAGGGATGGATAGCCTGCTTAACCATCAGTTCTCTGAAATTGTGGGTGGTTATTACATAGCTCATTTTGGGCTGCTAAGTGGCAAAAGGGATAGAGCACTGGCCCTGGAGTGAGGAGGACCTGAGTTCAAATCTTGCTTCAGATACTTACCAGCGGGGTGACCCTGAGCAAGTCACTTAATTCTGTTTGTCTCAGTTTCTCATATGTAAAATGAGCTGGCAAGGAAATAGCAAACTACTCCATTTGCCAAGAAAACCCCAAATAGGGTCCAGAAGAGTCAAACACGACTGAAAAATGACTAAACAACAACATTGCATAGATCAGAATTCTTAAATCTTTCAACATTGTTTTCCTTTACGATGTAGTTATTGTGTAAATAGTTGTCCTGGTTGTACTCCCACTTCATATGTGAATCAGTTCATATAAATCTTCTGAGGCTTCTCTGAAGTCATCCATTTTATCATTTCTTACAGCACGATGATATTCTATTATATTCATATATCACAGTTAGTTTAACCATTCCCCAAATGATGCATGCACCCTTGGTTTCCAGTTCTTTGTCACTACAAAAAGAGCACTATAATTTTTCAAACACATGAGTCCTTTTAGTCTTTCATTTATCTCTTTGGGGGTATAGCCTAGTAGAGTAGTATTGATGGGTAAAGGAGTATTCCCAGTTTAGTGACTTTTTGAGCATAATTCCAGAATGACCTCTTGAGTCTTCAGTCTCTTACCCCCTCACATCCGATTAGTTGGCTCTTCCTGTTGGTTCTACTTTCACAACATCTATCAATCTGTCCCCTTCTTTATAATCTGCCCTAACCATAATTTGGGTCTTTATTGCTCTCACCGGGCCTATAGCAAATCATCCAAAGACAAAATCAGAATCGTTTATGCCATCAAATAGCTTCCATTATATAAGGTGTGGGATGAGAAACATGTACAGAGAAAAATGCTTACTGTGTTCTCTAAAGTCAATGTCTTTGTATGATACCAAACTGCATAGAACGTTATGAATATCTGCTGCCTCACGCTCAAGTGCCTTACAACGTCACCTACATAGCAGAGCTAGGTACCTTGTCACTGGAGGGTATGCCCAAAATGTAAACCTCACACTTGTGCCTCTATAGAAATGAATGAAAAGCATTTATTAAACACTTAGGATATGCTGTGCCGTGCAGGATGCTTATCTTAGAGATATGAGTAAAAAGCAGAGTCCTGGCCATCAATGAACCCACTTTCTCTTTTTTTTAATTTTTATTAATTTATTTTGATTTATCAATAATCACTTCCATATGCTTTTGAGTTTAAAATTTTTCTCCCCCTTCCTCCCCACCACCCTCCCCAAGATGGCGCACAATCTTATATAGGCTATACATTTACATTCATATGAAACATATTTTCACATTAGTGATGTTGTAAGTAGAAATTAAAACCAATAGGAGGAACCATCAGAAAGAGGAAACAAAACTCAACAGAAGAGAAGAAAATAGCAATTCGGCTTCCATAGTTCTTTCTTTGGGTGTGGATAGCATTTTCCATCACAAGGCCCCTGGAGATGTCTTAGATCCTTGTATCACCAGGAAGGATTAAGTTTATCAATATTAGTCATCACACAACGTGGCTGTTATTGTGTACAACGTTCTCTTGGTTCTGCTCACTTCACTCAGCATCAGACTATACAAGTCTTTCCAGGTTTTTCTGAAGTCAGCCTGTTCATCATTTCTTATAGCACAATAGTATTCCATCCCATTCATATACCACAACTTGCTCAGCCATTCCCCAATGGATGGGCATCCTCTCAATTTCCAGTTCTTTGCCACCACAAAAAGAGCTGCTATGAATATTTTTGTACATGTGGGTCCTTTTCCCATTTGTATGATCTCTTTGGGATATAGCCCTAGAAGTGCTAATGCTGGGTCAAAGGGTATGCACATTTTTATAGCCCTTTGGGCATAGTGATGATGCAGGTTTTTTGATGATGCCAAGTGGGTGCTCACTGCCAAGAAAAGCCCTACTTTGTAGCAACAGCAACAATCTTCTTCTAATGCTATGGGGGGGGGGTGGCAATCCTGGAGGGGCATGATCTCAGTGAGAGTTGGGAACAAGCCCCTAAATGAAGTGATGTGACCTCTTGGTATGCCCGGCAGCTTTGTGAGACAAAATAGAAAGTGCGAGTCAGGGAAATGAAATCACAGGTTGAGACCAAAAACCAAATGGGATACACTCCACTAAATCCTTCTCTGACACCTCATCTGGGTGTGAAAAATGATGCAGCTGATCACCAGGGCCATAGCAGCAGAGCATGAGCTTTGGCACAAAGATGCTTGACGTGTGTGTGTGTGTGTCTGTGTGTGTGTGTTATGGACCTCACTAAATTATAAACTCCTTGAGAACAGGGACCGTGTTTTACCTTTCTGTGTATCCGCAGAAATTAGCACAGTGCCTGGCGCATAGTAGGAGCTTAATAAATGTTTATTCATTGACTGATTTTGACAGTCTGGTGAAACCCAAGGACCCATTTTTATTTATTTATTTTTTTTGGTGAGGCAATGGGGTGAAGTGACCTGCCCAAGGTCACACAGCTAGTAAGTGTCAAGTGTCTTAAGGCCAGATTTGAACTCGGGTCTCGGGTGGGAATGCTGAGGAGTATATATAGCATGGTCTGCTCTTTGTCAGTTTTTGCTTACTCACCAATCAAAAGCACTCAGCCCCGGGGTGAGGGTTCCTAAAAGCTAGGGCTCCCTTATTGATATTACTATAATGTTCCAAAGTCAGGACTTCAGTAATGCCTACTTTATAAAACTAAAATTTGTCTATTTATATACATTAAAGTAATATACTTTCAATCAGTCAGTAAGCATTTGTGTACCTACTAGGTGCCAGACATTGTGTCAGACACTAGTGATACAAAATTGAGACGTGTTTACAGAGATGTACGAAATAAACGTGCTGATTTTGGTGGGGACTCCGCAAAGACTTCTAGAAGGAAGTTGCCCTTGAGCTGAGTGAGCCTTGAAGGGAATTGGTGGTTCCAAGAAACAGAAGTCAGGAAGGAGAGCATTTCAGACGTTGGAGAACAGACTATACAAAGATGAAGAGAAATTGAAGATGCGTATGGGAGCAGCTGGCAGGCCACTGTGACTGTGTGTAGAGTACAGGAGGGTAAGCGGTGTGTAATCAGCCTGGAAAGATAGGCAGAGGCAGATTGTGAAGGACTTTAAATGCCAAATAGAGATGTTTGGGGGTTTTCCCTCTAGTTCATCCAGAAAGGAATAGACTCCATACGAAGCATCTTGAGCAGAGGTTTAAATCTGTGCTTTAGAAACATCATTTTTGTAGGTAAGTAGAGGATGGACTGAAGAGATAAGAGACAGTACACAAGGAGAAAAATGACCAAGCCAGTACATTCTGCCTGTTGAGAAGTGGTGAGGACCTGAAGGAGTGTCATGGTGATACGAATGAATACAGAAGGGGATAGAAACGAGAGACTACAGTGCATGTGTCTTGGAGCCGTACGACACCTGAAAAATATTGATATTAAGAAGATGAGTCTTTGTTTCAGAGAGGAATTTTGGCGTCATTATTTTCTTTACATATTTTTGTAAACACTGAGCTATCATTGCATATTTGTCATAAATTTTGTTCGTGGGGTCTACTTTTTAAAACTTTCTTCTGTGTTTATCTTACGTCTTATTTAGGTTTTTGTCTAACAAAACCTGTTAGACAAAACAAGTCTGTCTGCAGTAAGTAAATTCTTTGTGAGATTTTAAAAAGTGACTGTATTTGCCAGATGAAAGACATTGAACTACCTTCCATCTCTTGCTTTATTTGGGTACACATTGTAGGACCTGGTTGTTCTTTGAAAGTTTTAAAAAAAAAAAATAACCCTATGGAATCCTTCAGGACTAGATTTAGGGTTTGGGGAGGTGGAGGTGAAGTCATATTGACAGCTTGTCTTATTTTTTTTCCCATCCATTGAAGTATTTGTTGTCATTTTCCTGTTGCATCAGTTTTTATTATTTTATATCTTTGCAAATAGTCATCCATTTAATTTCTCTAACTTGCTGGCATATAGCTGTGCAACATGTTCTCCACTAATCCTTTTTTTTTTTTTAGTGCTTGAGAACTCTGCTTTTTAATTTTTTATCTTATGACTTGTGTTTTCTCTCTCCTCTTTTGATTGTTTACTAATAGTTTGCTGATTTAATTGGTCTTTTAGAAAAAAAGCTCTTGGGGCGGCTAGATGGCACAGTGGATAGTGTTCCAGCCCTGGAGTCGGGAGGACTTGGGTTCAAATACGACCTCAGACCAAACACTTGACACTTACTAACTGTGTGACCCTGGGCAAGTCACTTAACCTCAATTGCCTCACAAAAAAAAAATGTGTATGTGTGTGTGTGTGTGTGTGTGTGTATATATATATATATATAAATTTAACTGTCACTTTATTTTCTGTTTATTTATGCTCTTTTTTTTTAATCCCATTTACTACTTTGCTTTGAATTACTCTTTATTCCTTTTATAGTGTCTTTAGGTTCCAACTTAATTCATTTAGTCCTGATTTCCCCTCTTATAACTAGGCTTGAAATGCTGAAATTTGCCTCAGAACGACTTTGACTGCATTCCATCGCTTTTGGTTTATAGTATTATTTTTATTATCTTTTAATTATTATTATAGTTTCCTGATTTAACTCAATTATTGTTTTAATGTTTTTTAGGGTTTTTTATCTTTACACATTAAAAAATAATTTTATTACATTGTGGTTTGAAAGTAGAATACATATTATTATACCTTTTGGTTTGTCATGACTTAGTATGGGATTAGTTTTGATTTGAGCTCGAAGTGCTCTTGGAAAGAATGTGCATTCCCTGCATCTCGCATTTATTCTCAAAGAGTTTATGCTCTGAGGGAAACAACAGGTACATAGGGACAAGGGAGTTTCTAAGAAGAGCACACAGGGTCTAATGGGAAAAAAGGAGTTCAAAGGTCACATTACAAAATAAGGAAGAGTAAGAGAAGGGAAGCAGAAGGATGGGAATGACTTGGATGAATATGGGAGAGCAGAGAGTAGTGTGGGAAGGGAGGGAAAGGAGTCTTTGTCTAGTCATCCTGTACCTCAGAAGCACAGCTATGCTGAGTGGAGCCACAGGGCAGCAGAAGGTCACAACCTTCACTATAGCCCAGGGTCCTGTTAGATTCTCAATCCTTAAGAGAGAAGGGAGGGTGGAGATGAGGGGACAGGCTTGTACATCTGTGACAGAGGATTGTCTAGTCCTGGTGATCAAGGTGGTCCTGGGTTTGGGCTGGTTGTAGAGAGAAGACTGATGCATGTTTGAGATACTCATTCAGCCAGATCAGCTCAGCTCAGCTCCCTTGATATAGATTATCTTTCCTAGGGTGTAGAGGCGATGGGGGCAGGAAGAAGGTTACAGGTATGTGACTTTTGTTCCCTGCTTGTTGAGTCAGCAGTATAAATATCTGTGAAGCCTTTATAGTTATTCTACATTGGTCATATTTTTTTATAATGCCCATTTCTTATATTACTGTTAACCTTTTGTGAATTTCACTATCAAAGCTTTGGTACATGCAAGTAAAAAATTGTACAATATTTATTAATTTAGTGTGTTATCATTATATTATACTCTTGTTTCTCTCTTTTATGTTTTATAGTTTAAATTCACTTTTTTCTGATGTCATTATTGCCACTCCTGCTTTTAAACTACCACTCGCATGATCTGTTTCAGAGTATGCTCTTCGTCTTAATCTGTAACAAAAGCTAACTTTGTAGAGCACTTTAAGATTTACAAACTTCTTTCCATGCATTATCTCATGAGATTCTCACAATAACCCTATGAGGCTGATACTACAGGTATTATTATCCACTTCACAGATGAGGAAATTGAAAAGTGAAGTGACTAGCCCATGATTACCCAGCTTGTAAATTGAGAAGGTAGAATTCCAATCCATATTTCTCTGAATTTGAAGTACACAACTCATTCCAGTATACCATACTTGTGCCGTACTATTTTTTAAAATATTTTTTGCATTGTGAGTTTTCTGTAAAGCAGTTCTGCAATGGAAATCTGTAACCCAGGTGCATTATCAGAATCCTATACTTAATGGAATTTATAATCAATTTCAGAAGTAATAAATAACTTTACTTTTCTCTTTTCCAGGCAGAATTGGGTCTAAATGATCACCATCAAAATGAAATTATCAACTACATGCGTTTTGCTCGTTCAAAAAGAGGTTTGAGACTCAAGACTGTTGATTCCTGCTTCCAGGATGTCAAGGAGAGCAGGTACCAGAGAAAATAAGGAAATAATTTTAAACCCAAGAAGAGCCCGGGACCTTTGTATTGGCCAATGGGAGGGTATTGCTTCTGCCACCATATTGCAGTGTTTCCAGGAATATTATTAGTGAGGGCCTGAATTGTTTAGAGCACTGTGCTAGGAAATAATAGTCAAGAGTTGATGTGTTCATGAGACATAGGAAACCATAAAATCAACATAGACATTTACATAGCAGGAGATGAGAATTATTATTGTGGCTGGACAAATTCATGGAGGGTCTTAAAGCCCATGACAAGTTAGTATTTGTTAATGGGAGCCAATGAAAACATGAGTGAGACTAAGGAATAGAGTGGAATGAAAGTACCATTAACACCCATTTATCCAGAGGTCAGATTTCTGAAAACCTCAGCACTTGGTGGGTTCAGGTGTATGTGCATGGCCGTACCAGCTATTGCAGTGATCAACAGCTGTCACAAAGTTGTCCCATAAAAGAGTCCCTCTGCTAAAACCTTGTTGGTTCTCTTTTTTTAAAAAACCGTATTAATGCATTTTGGTTTGGTTTGGTTTTAAACCCCAGATGTTTTCCAGTAATCACCCTCACAGTAGCCTCCTTTATAAAAAACAAAACAAAATCAGGAAAAACTATCAGATTAACTCTTGTTTAACACACAATTTCAACAACTTAGGCTGCCTTATTTCTTGTCACACAACATATCAAAGGAAGAAATTATACGGTAGGCATGGGGTGAGGGGAGACTGTTAGAGGCAAGTACCATGACAGCCTACAATGGGAAGTCTGTCGTTGAGTCATTTTTCAGTCATGGATGCTCTTCGTGACCCCATTTGGGATTTTCTTGGCAAAAATACTAGAGTGGTTTGCCTTTTTTTTTCTCCAGCCCATTTTACAGATGAGAAACTGAGGCAAAAGGGTGAAGTGACTTGCCCAGAGTCACACAGCTTATAAGCAATAGGAAAACCAAGAATGGAGCACAGAATTAGCAAAGCACAGCAATCTGTTGTCTTGAGTAGGACAAAGTGGCCCTTCACAGCACAGTAGTCCCTACTAACATCACTAATTAATCAGTCGACCAGCTCTATTAAGTGCCTGCTGTACTTCTGGCACTTTGGGGCACTGAGGTTAGGGATGGAGACTGGGCCTGTGATTTCATGGCACAGAGAAGTCCTTGGTGAGGAAACTCTCCACCAGTGCAGTCCTCAACCCGAAGTACTCAAGAAATCATTAAAGGATGTTCAACCAGCTCTCTTAAGAGGTTTCTGTCAAGAGTAGTTAAAATTAAAATGGTGAGGTCCTTAAAGGGATAAGACTCTATCATTTAGGAAATTCACATAAGGGAAATAGCTGGTTTCTCCTGGATAAGTAAGTCATTCTGTATAGTCCAGTCAAGGTGGTGATGCATTGGTGGATAACCTGAATTATGACAGTATGATGATACCCTGATGCAACTTAGTTTTTACTGAATAACCTTTTTCAGAATCAGTTCAGTGACAAGATAATGGGGGTCCCTAAATCCTGAAAAAGTCACGAGAATGATTGCTGTTAGTGCCAACAGCAGCTAACGTTTATGGAATGCTTTGGTGAGTGAGAGGGGGAAGGGAGTCCACTCTAACTAGTGAAAAGATGGCCTGAGAGAAGAGGAAGAGCATCACTTTAGGGATTTTTTTTTTTCCATGTCTGGTTTGTATTTTCTGAAGGGTAGGAAGGATGATGCTCAGAGGCTTTCTGGAGGATCTCCCCTAGGCTCTCAACTCTTTTCCAAGACTGTTAGACATTACAGGAGAGTTGAGTGTGAGAACTGATTCTGATCTCCCAGAGGAGGCCTTTTTGTTTGAAGGGGCAGAGGAGAGAGTTGTGGTTTTAACTGGATAGATTTTGTTGCTGGAGTTCAAAATGGGTTCCTTTTCTGTCTTTGGGCCTTTAGACTATTAAGAGGAGAGTTGAACTTTTTTTATACATACACACATAGCAAAACTTAAGTAGGTTTATACTCTTGTTTATTTATTTAGAAAGAGAAAACAGCAAAAAAGAACTGCTGAACCACTCAGGTTGAGTGTTAAAATATATAAAAATCAGACTCATTTAAGAGAGAATTGAACTTTTTTTCAGCTGAAAAGCTCAACTAAAGAAAAGAAGTGATAGGTTTTAAAGTATATCTAAGGGGCTCAGATTCTTAAGAGTTTAACCAAAAGCTCAGATTCCGTAAGAACCTAGCCAATAGCGCACCAATGTTCAGATTTCTTGAGAGTCTGGCCAGTGTGGTGGCTCTTTAATAAATCTTGTCTCTGGCTGAAAGAAGGCTTGGGTAGAATTCATTTGGGCAAGACCCTCGTGTCATGATTTTGGGGTCCCAGCACCCCTAAACCTCTAGACCTCATCATGTGGTTCCCTGGCCGGGAAGAACTGCGTAATCCCAATCTCTTCTCCAGCCAAGACTGGAAGGTTTGTCTCCTCCCAGGACCTAGCCATCAACTTCCAGATGATTGCTCAGGCTACCAACCTCCAACTCAGTCCAAGGTTTTCTCGCCCACTGAACTCGAAGTCTGACCCCTTAAACAGGACCCAGAGAGGCAGGGGCAGCTCTACGCCCCTTGCCAGCAGGAAGCAGTTTCAGAAGCTGAAACCTTCGCCACTTACCCCAAAAGAATTTGGGTCCCATTTGTTTGAGGGGGAGATGATGGGGTTGGGATCTGGACCCCAGAAAGGAAAAGCCCTGGACTTTCTCACATGGCCAAATCTCTGGATTTTGCCGGAACCTATAATCCCATCCACTGGCCTTTCATTGCCTATGCCCTATCTCCCAATTCTGTTACCCCTGGCCACTTCCCACTCCTAATCCTATCTAGACTCCATTCTCCCTTGGATCCCTAGGTCCCTCCCACAGCCCTTCTGTATATGAGGTCCATCTTGTCTCCATTAAGGTACTCAGATTCCCAAGAGTCTAGCCAAAAGCTCAGATTCCTTAAGAACCTAGCCATTAGCTCATAAATGTTCAGATTCCTTAAGAGTCTGGCCAATATGGTGGACCTTTAATAAACCTTGTCCCTGGCTGAAAAAAAAAAATGAAGTATGCCTAAGGATGCAGAGATACTGTATTATTTATGTACATATATTAAAGAATCACTCTAATCACTGATGGGATGGACTGATCCACCTTCAACTTTCTTTTGGTGTTTTTCTAAGTGGACAGAGCCCAGCCCTGGAAGCAGGGAAGGCTGGGTTCAAGGCCCAGCCATGACCCTTAGTAGTCTAGAGGCCATAGATGAATTGAGAGTGGGGACAATTTTTGCCTTTGTGTTCCCAGTGCTTAGCACAGGGCCTGATACAGGAGGTGATTGGTAAATGCTGGTTGACTGCACTGATAATACTTGCACTACTCTCCTCTCAGTGTTTTTGGGAGGAAATCTCAAAGTGCTGCTGAAATATGAGTTGTTATTATTTAGAAAATTGTTTATAAGGTGTTTCAAATGATAATCTACTCTTTTTGAAAAAAGTATTTGTTAAGCACCTTTCCATATGCCAAGTACTGTGATAAATGACATGAGGCGAAGACTTGTTATTTTCAGTTCAATTTTGTCGATCATTTTGGTGATTTTATTTAAAAGTAGTTTTTTGTCTTTTTCTTTTCTTTTCTTTTCCTTTCTAAATGTAGGCTGGTAGACGAGACCTTCACCGCGGATGAAGTAACCCATGTTCTGAATGAATTGCAGGGTGTGGTTCACAGTGAAGTAGAGTCTGAGCTCATCAACACTTCCTGTACCAACGTGCTGCTTCTCCGGCAGCTGTTTTCACAGGCGGAGAAGTGGTACCTTAAGCTCCAGACGGACATCTCAGAGCTGGAAAATCGGTAAGATCACTTACGCCTGTGATTGTAAGCATAGCAGGCTATAGTGTTTCCCTAAGGAAGGTGTGTTATTGCAGATCAGATTTTCTTTTAGTGTGTGAAGAAACTAGGGCAAGGGGGAAAATATTTGCATAAGTGCTAGATTATGCTAATCTCTTAAATTGTGAGAATTAGTGTTATCTGTGTTCTACACAAAAGTCATCTGAAAGGTAAAGGTCATTAAATATTTGAAAACTTTTTCTAAAGATAACATCTTTTGAAAGATGTAAAAGATGACATCTATTTCAGAGGTTCTTTTTTCTAATGAGTAGCATTAGGAATCTGTCAATTTGTCCTTAAACAGAAAGTGACACATAAGTAGTTTTTGATCATCTGAAAACTCCTAGCAGTACATAGTGCAGTTATATGGAAATATCAGTCTTCTTGATCTCTTTGAATGATATTAGTGATCTTTTTGGGATCTCAGGTAAAATAAATGCTTTGACTAAATTTAATCATTATATGACATTAAGTATAAAGATTTATACTTAATAAATCAGTCTACTTAGTGTTGAGAGATACAGGACAGGGACTGAGACAAAAAACTTTAGAATAGTTGGAAATGCCTCTAAGAAACTGACTGGAGTGGAGGAGATAGAGAGAGAGAATTTGCCTCAACTCAAAACTTATTATCCACCAAGTATATCATCTGGGCACAAATAATCTAGAGTTAAACTGTAGTAATTCTCCATTAATGTCACATGGATTCCTGATAAATTATTATATCTTCCCAGTCCTTCACTAGCATTTATTTAGACAACTAAGTGGCACAGTGAATAGAGGTCAGAAATAGAGATCTGATTCAGGTCAGAAAGGTGAGGTCAGAAAGACCTGAGTTCAAATCTGGCCTCAGACACTAGCTATGTGACCCTGGACAAGTCACTTAACCTCTGTCTGTCTCAAGTGTTCTGTGGAATTGAGTAAACCACACTGACTCCATCTTGTGACTCAATTCTGGAGCTAGCTCAGTTCCCTTTCTTTTTAATTATGGGTCTAGTCCAATATTTGTCTTGTGAGAAAACTTTTATTTCAATTGTGGGAATTGGGAGGAAACTGTACTGCATTGTTGGAACCTAGCCCTGCATGGCTGGGAAGCCGGACCGCTTCTCTCTGCCGCTTAAAGACCTTTTACCAAGGACCTCGGTCATGCTGACCAGAGACCTGGTCAGATCCAGACTGATGCAAGGAGTTTTCTCACAATTGTATATCCCAAGCAACCCACATGTCTCACCTGAAAACTGGCCCCGGACTAAATCAGTTATTGTTTCCGTGTTGCTTTGATTGAATACAGACGCCTGAGGGGAGTGGGATGCCTGTTCTCTGATTTCAGGAAATCACCCCTCTCAACTCAAAGAGCCACTAATCATTCCTCCAATTAGAAATCAGGTTACCTCCTCTTGTATACCAGAATTAATTGGAATTATTTGATAGTTTTGAATTGATAGAAATCTGGGCTGACTGCGGAGTCCAGTGACCCACTGACCATTCATTGTGCCTGTTTTGTTAGTAAATCACATAGCTTGGATCGTCTCCTCAGTTATTATTACTTATCTACCACAGTCCTTATCTGTAAAATAGGGATAATAATAGCACCTCAGTTGGAGGCAGCTGGGTGGCGCAGTGGATGGAGTCCTGGGCCTGGAGTCAGGAAGACCTGAATTCAGATCTGGCCTGGGACCCTTACTAGCTGTGTGACCCTGGACAAGTCACTTCACCCGGTTTGCCTCAGTTTCCTCATCTGTAAAATGATCTGGAGAAGGAAATGGCAAACCACTCCAGGATCTTTGCTGAGAAAACCCTAAATGGGGTCACAGAGAGTTTGAAACAACTGAGCAGCAACAACAAAAATAGCCCCTTCCTCCCAGGGTGGTTGTGAGGACCAAACTAGGTAATAATATCCATAAAGCGCTGTGTAAATGCTAGCGCTTACTGTTTCTGTATCTGTTAATAAGAGGCAGCATGGAGCAGCACAGAGAGGTCTGGCCTTGAAGCCAGGAGGACCTGGGCTTGGGTCCTGCCTTTGGCGCGTACGGAAATGTGAGCCGTGTGTGGCTTACTTAGCTCTCAGTGTCTAGACTGTAAGTTAGAGGGACGTAGATCTAACCGTGTGGGTGAAGGGGAGTTTCCTCCCCTATAGGAATAGTGCCAGGCCCAGCTCCCCAACCCTTCTCTTTGTTTACATAAAATCATGGGGCATGAAAAAATCTGTGTGGCAGCATTTTGTTCATCCTGCTCTACTCCAGGAGTAAGTGAGGTGAACAAAGAGATGGGGAGACTTGGCTAGGCCCCAGGCCACTCTTTATGTCACTGCATTGTCATGAGGCCATGGTGTCAGCCAGTCTCTTTACATCAGTTTTGTTGTTGTAAATAGAAACTTTGAAGAAATTGTCTTTTATACTCTTGTGTATTATAGGATTTGTATGTTTCTTAAATGGATAGACATGTTAAAGCAATTGTTTTCTTGTCAGTATAAGCATTTTTGTTTATTTCTTCAAGAGAATTATTAGAACAAGTTGCAGAATTTGAAAAAGCAGAATTTACCACTTCAAATAAAAAGGTAAAGTTTGATTATTCAGAATCCCAATATTAGTACTCAGTCCTACCCTCCTCCCCATCCCCCAATCCGTGCTTCCTTTCTTCCCTGTCCTGTTTCTGCTCCTAACCCTTAGATAATCTATGAGTATGTTCAAGTGTGATAATTATAAACTTTATATTTTTGATGTGGGATTATTTGATTATAGTTTGTAATTATATTATATTTATAATTATTATATTTATAACATATTATTTTTATTTTATATTATTTTATTTATAGTTCATATTTATTATATTATATTTATAATAATAGAACTCTAATATGGAGACACTCAGGCTAATGACCATAGAAGCATAGAGGCAAAACAGACAGTTTGCTTTGTTAACTCTGTGTCAGACAGAGCTTGCAGCTTTGTGACTGCACGAACTCTTGATCTATTTGCACTGGCCTTAGAGTTAACATCAGACCCTCCTATAGTTTGTGCTCCTCGTAAAGATGCTCCTCCTACCTGAGCATCGATGAGGGACCCTGAGAACTTTTCTGCCCCAGTCGATTAGGAATATTAGGGGTCTGATTAGGAATATCCCCTCCTGCATCTGGCACCAATAACCTGTTCTCTCCTGCCCCCTGAATCTGGTTACTTGCTTGTGGGGCACTACATAACAAAAAAGCTCATGATTGCATCATTTCCCTGAGTACCAATTGTCTAGAAAATCTCAAACCCAGGTGTCTGCTTTAACTAATCAAGCCTTGAAAGGCCAAATAAAGCCTCAAGCCCCCTCTGCCACAGTGAACCCTGAAGTCTAAGCTAGAAAGCTAGAGAAGAGCTCAAAAGCTGCCTTTGGAATCTTTTCTATGAAGTAAGAAAGCTTTAGAGGTCACTGTGGAGGAACATGCACATGTCACAGGTCATAAAGCCAACCGAAGAGGGGAGGGAAACCTGGGGTCTGCTCTGGCCAGGGCTTCCTCACCCAGCGGCCCTTCCTTTTCTAAGAAGGGTCCTTTCTCTCTCGGCCTTTTTCAGCTGGCTAAGAGATCAGATCTTGAAAAACAGCATGACATAATGGAAAGACTGCAGATCTTTGGGGTGAGGTTTGGGTTTGAATTCTGCCTCCAGTATCTCCCGTTTGCATGGCGGTGGGAGTTGAGAGGATGCTTATATTACAGTGCCACTTCACAGGGTTCTTGTAAGGAAGCCATTATGGAAAGTGATGATTATTACCAAGAGCTTGAAATTGGCATTTTTATCATTTATTTTATGAAATACTTTAATAATTACCTCATTGTTTTACAGAAGCACACATAGCTTCTGACATTTCTAACTAAACTCTACTCTTGAAATACGTATAATTTTTCAGTGACCTCTAAAACCTTCTGTTTTTTTTGTGATGTTTTCAAGAAAGGTTTAATTTTTCCTTCAAGATTTATTCAATTTAGCCTTCAGAGAATCTCCTAATTTTATTTTTCTCAGGCCTCTTTCAGTATGCTATAATTTTTTTTTTTTTGCAAGGCAGTTGGGGTTAAATGACTTCCCTGGGGTTAAGTGACTTGCCCAGGGTCACACAGCTAGGATATGCTATAATTTTAAAATAACATGTGGAAGATCAACTGGGAGACTTTTCTGAGTTAGTATCAGGACATCCTTGGTAAGGAAAAGGAAATGTCATTGACAAAATAGATTGTGTCAGTTAACTGGAAAATCAGGCTAAACAAAATACTTTTTCCCTTGTCATATAATGGAAATATTACTGTACACTGAAGAAAATTAAATTGTAAAGTGCAGGATAAGTAATTTCTCAAAGTTCTTTTGGAAATTTCTTTAGTCATTGAATTGTATAGATTAATAATGCTGTTTGTCACAAGAGGCAGTGCTAAAGGCCACAGGCCCTGGCCCCAGCTCTGCTGATCTCTGGGTGACCTGGAGCATCCTCGAAGAGCTGCAGACAAGATGACTGAGGCCTCATGAGGGGAAAAGACCTGCCCAAGGTCACGCAGTGCCCACTGCACTGAGCTGCTTCTTCAGGGGGCTGCTGCTGCTATGAGCAAATGTGTTTTTATGTATACATACATACACATATACATACATACATACCCACGTATATATGTATTATGTATCTATATATTAAAATTATAAATAGTAAAACTAAAAGTTAAGGGTATATCCTGTTTATATGAGAGCACTTTGTAAACAATAAAACTATAAAAATGAATGGGTGTTATAGATTTGGATAATTGATTTTTTTCTTTATCTGAAGAGCAACTAATATGGAAAATGAGGTCTTTACTATAGCCTTCCTCAAGAATAAGGGGTAACACAATGTCAGTTAACAAATGTTCGTTAAATGCTTATTAAATTCCACAGGCAGTTATTGGTGATGTCTTCACATCACGTACCACAAATCTCAAAGCATTATATAAATATTAGCTATTGTTTTTATGACCTATAACGTATGAAGGGTCGCTTAATTTTAGAGATCATAAAAATTTTATTCTATTCCATTTTCATTTTTTAAATTTAATTTTTAGTCTAAATCAGAGAACATGAAGCCATCAAGACTTGTTCCACTTAATGAAGGTGGAACGTCAGAGCTCCTAAACAAGGTAAGTTTACCATCATTTTATAGTGGGTTTTAAATCAGCTAATTCTAGTCTTGGTGCTCAAGTCATTCCTTGGCAGCTAGACCAGGCCGTAGAGTAGATGATTTACATGTTGGGTTCACTGGGCATATTGAATCCTTGTGATCCTAATGTACCAAATCGTATCCCAGTGTCCCAGAAGAGGGAAGTACCTGACAAGACCAGCAGGTGAGCTAAGTGCTTTAGTGAATCTGTTTTTAGTAAAATGATTTCTCGTTGGGATTGGAGACACGTATTCATCTACATTTGAACATTCTGTCTTTTCACTGTGATTACGAGGTTGTTCTTTTTCAGTTCTCTAAGGTATTTCACAAGTTTTTGTTTGTCATGTCATTCAGTCAGCACATATTTGCTGAGTATCTTGTGTGTTCCTAGTATTATATGTAAATACAATTGGCTCCTAAGGTATTAACAGTGTAGCTGGGGAGGTGGAACCCAATAAGAACAGACCAATTAGGTCTGTGAGTGCTGACCATTTGGTTCCTGACAACACATGTGCGGGAAATGTTTAGGGAAGGCAGCAATTCATGAGGCCTTAGAGTACAGAGGAGGGAGGATCGGAGCTGGGCTTTCTTCACAGGATGAATAATATTTGGACAGCCCAAGGAGGGCAGTCCAGGCAGAAGAAACAGCATGAGCAGAGGCCTGGGGGTGGAATGTTCTGGAGTTCACTGAGTGTGCTCCCTTGACTGGTTATATTCTGGGGAGGTGTAGAAAATACAATTATGGAGGGTCTTGAAGAACGCATACAGTGTTCACGGTTGTCTGGCTAGGGAGATCTTTACCTGTTTAAAAAAAAAAAAGATAAGGATTTTTTTAAGCCTTCAGTTTATTTTGTTTCCTTTTTAGCCAACTCATACTAGAAGCTTTACTTGTGACACTAAGAGAATCCCTTTCAGATATAAATGTAGTGTGGAAGGCAGGGGATAAATTCCAGGGAAAACAATTGTTATATTTGTTTAATATCCAAATTCCACCAAAGTACCCATTTGTTTTCTGGACTCTCTAGAGAGTCTAGTTCTCTAGACTTCTGTAACATGGAACCATTGAAGGTCCATGGTCAGGAGCATGACATGGTAACAGCAGTGTTTTAGGACACTTTCTGGCATTGGCATTCAGCATGGATCAAAGGGAGTGGGACTGTAGAAATGGGCAGAGCAGGGAGGAATGAGAGATTTAGCCGTGAGCCAGGAGGGCGCTGATAGTGAGGATGGATGTGAAAGGGGAATCTGAGGGACATTTCACAGACAAGGAAAGACAGGATTTGGCAAGACTTTGTAGATGTGATGGAGAGAAAAGTGTATGCTGTCTCCAGGATTTCTGGCCTGGGAGACTAGAGAATGGTTGTTGTGACTGATAGAACCAATGTACAAAATTTTTTTTAGCTATAAAAATATTTTATAAACTGACTTTTTTAAATTAGGAAAATAATTTCTGGTATTTAAAAAAATCTGATTAGATTAAATTTTCAAATTACCTCTCTTTGTCTTTGCTTATAAAGGAAATTGTAAGACTTCAGGAAGAGAATGAAAAATTGAAATCAAGGGTAAAGGCCATAGAATTGCAGGTAACTTTAAAATTTCTTAACAAAATTACTAAAAAAGTTAGTTGCAGCTTACATGACTGTACATTTCTGTCTCCACTTTATCACAGGCTACAAATGCATTGGATGAAAAATCAAAACTAGAGCGAGCACTAAGGGATTTACAGATTGTCCAGGGAGACCAGAAGGTAGAAATCATTCCAAATGACCTTTTCCCCACATTGTTTAGACACAGCTGAACCTGAGAAGCCTGCCCTTAATTACCCGTTGTTCACTTTGCGTTCCCCAAGTAGGTGAATCACTCAGTGTGGAGAGCTGGCCCCCTTCTTGCTTCCACTCCGACCTTCTAGAACACCCCATCCCTCAAGCTGTCATGCGCTCTGGGCTTCTCCAGTCAGGGCGGCAGGCAGAATTTCAGCCAGCAGGAGGGAAGGAGTGCTGTCTCTGGATTCGGATCCTGCCTCTGACTCTTAGTGCCTTTATCTCCCAGGCCTCAGTTTCCTCATCCGCAAAATGAGGAGGCTGCAGCACTACATGGCCTCCCAGGTCCCGTCCAGCTCTCCGGCTATGACCTAATACTTTAGGGCATGTGGATTCTTCCACCATTGGTACAGATTGTGACCTCTCCTGTTCTCATGTTATTTTTGTCCCTATCCTGCCGTGATTCCTTCATAGAAAATACACCCAGTGGACGGAATTTCTTCCTGTGGATCCAAGAGTTCTTAACCTGGAAGTCCACAGACCCCTAGGGGTCTTTGGATAAATTTTGTAGGATCCATGAAGTTAGATGGGGGAAAAAAATGACATCTTTATTTTCTCTTTTAACTGAAATTTAACATTTCCTCCAATTATGATCAGCAAACCACCGTAGAATTAGGTTTCACCACGTGACTACTACCAGAGGGAAGGACCACACAAAAATGGTTAAGAAGGCCTGCTCTAGATCTTGTATATTTTGTGGGCACCAAGACAGAGCATCATTTAAGTTTGCTGTGGTTTTCTGAGATACAACCATGCAGTCAAATTTCTTCATAAAATTTATTATGGTTCCTTCTTCTTAAAGGCAATAATCAGATCAAAGGATATAAGTGACTTGGAAAACACAGTCGCAGCACTGAAGAATGAGTTTCAGAAGACACTGAATGATAGCACTGAAAACCAGAAGACTTTGGAGGAAAACTTAGTGTCAACGAAGCATGACCTTCTTAAGGCTCAGGAACAGTTGAGTGTGGCTGAAAAGGTCAGAGTGTAAAGTTTTTGTCTTTCAGTTTTCATTTTATCTGTTGTATCAGGTTTAGAGAAATGTGGCCAGGACAGATACTGGGCTCACTGGATACACTGTGATATTAGTCCGCGTTCTAAAGTTCTCAAGGTCAGAGGAGTATGAATGAGTCGGCCTACCTTTCATGCTGAAGCGTTTGCTAACCAATGATTCTTTTCTCCCTGGGGCAGAACAACTCGGTGAAATTTTCCTCCCCTGTCTACATTCATTAATCAGTATTTTTATTTTCCTTTCTAACTTACTATGTTTCTGTACCTTGTAACTAAGCAGAAGGTGGAACAACAGGATTTGTCTTAAATGTCAGGGCATTTCTACGCCTTTGGCATAGTTTTTTAAGTCGCTTATAGAGATCTAGCCTCACCTTGAAGCAGAGCCAAGATGGAGGGGTAAAGGCAGAGACTCTCCTGGCCTTTCCCAAGTTTGTCTTCAAACAACTTTAAAATAATACTTCAAAATGAATTCTGGAGCAACAAGACCATCATAAGGATGGGATGAAACAATTTTCCAGCTTGAGACAACTTAGAAGGAGGGCAGGAAAAGTCTGTTTCGCTAGAGTGAGAATGGAACACTGTCCAGAGCAGACCACCCCCCAGACCACCCTAGCAGCAGCAGGCCCGAGGGACACCCAAGTTGGCGGTGGCTCCCAGAGCTCCCAGACCACAGATGGGGGACCCTTAGCTGGAACTGGGAATAGGGCTCTGCTGCCTTGTCCATGCTTGGTTCTGGATCACAGTCCCGGGGTAAGGAGGAGCACTAGCAAGAGCAGAGACCCTGGTCACAGTTCCAGGGCAGAAAAGAGTGCTTATGGTCACTCATAGACCAGAGCCCAGGCCAGGAAGACCCGTGACCTCACCTCTTAGATCATATCACTTGGAAGAATTGAAAACTTACAGACTCCCAGAACTATTTCTGAGGGCAGTAGCACAAAAACCCTAAAGCATAGGACAGCGGCCCCTCCACTCCAGGAGCAGAGCCCAGCTTTACCATAAAGTTAAAAGTAAAGAAATAGGCTGGAAAAATGAGCAAACAACAGTCAAAAAAGAACCTGACCATAAAAAGTTGCAATGGTGACAGAGAAGATCAAAACCCAAACTCAGAAGAAGACAACAAAGTCAAAACCGCTACTTTCAAAGCCTAAAAGAAACATGGGAACCAATCTCAGGCACAGAAATAATTCTGGGATGTGCTCAAAAAGGAGTTTAAAAAATCAAATAATAGAGGTAAAGGAAAAATTGGGAAAAGAAATGAGAGTGAATCATGAAAAAAGAATCAACAGTTTGGTAAAGGAGGCACAAAAAAATACTGAAAAAAATAACACCTTAAAAAAACAGAATAAGCCAAATGGTAAAAGAGATGCAAAAATCCATGGAAGAGAACTCCTTAAAAAGCAGAATTGTCCAAATGGTAAAAGATGTACAAAAATTCACTGAAGAAAAGAACTCCTTAAAAAAATAGAATTAACCAAATGGAAAAGGGGGTACAAAAGCTTACTGAAGAAAATAATTCCTTAAAAATTAAAATTGGGCAAGTGGAAGCTAATGACTATGAGACATCAAGAAGCAATAAAACAAACTCAAAAGAATGAAAAAACAGAAGAAAATGTGAAATATCTTATTGGAAAAACAACTGACCTGGAAAATAGATTGAGGAGAAATAATTTAAGAAATATTAGATTATGTAAAAGCCATGATCAAAAAAAGAGCCCAGACATCATATTTCAAGAAATTATCAAGGAAAACTGCCCTGATTTTCTAGAACCAAAGGGTAAAATAGAAATAGAAAGAATCCACCATTCACCTTCTAAAAGAGATCCCCAAATGAAAACTCCCAGGAATATTATAGCCAAATTCCAGAGCTCCCAGGTCAAAGAGAAAATATTGCAAGCAGTCCTAAAGAAGCTATTGAAATGTCATGCAGCCACAGTGAGGATCACACAGTTTTTTAGCAGTTTTTATATTAAAGGATTGGAGGGCTTGGAATATGACATTCCAGAAGACAAAGGAACCAGGATTACAACCAAGAATCACCTGCCTTACAAAACTGAGTATAATCTGTCAGAGGGAAAAAATGAATGTTCAATGAAATAGAACACTTTCAAGCATTCCTGATGAAAAGACTAGAGCTGGATAGAAAATGTGACTTTCAAATATAAGACTCAAGAGAAGCATAAAAAGGTAAACAGGAAAGAGAAATCATAAGGGATTTAATAAGGTTAAACTGTTTCAAAGGTGATACTTGTACTTCCTAAGAACTTTTATCAGTTAGAAGGAGTATACATAGAAGGCACAGATGTGAATTGACTATGATGGGATGATACCTAAAAAAGTAAAATTAAGGAGTGAGAGAGATGTACTGGGAGAAGGGGGAAGGGAGAAGTAGAATTGGGTAAATTATCTCACAGAAAAGGTGTAGGAAAGAGCTTTTATAGTGGAGGGGGGTGTGGATAGCACTTCAACCTTATTCTCTTTTTTTTTCTTTTTCTTTTCTTTTTTTTTTTTTTTTGCTTTTTGGTGAGGCAGTTGGGGTTAAATGACTTGCCCAGGGTCACACAGCTAGTAAGTATCAAGTGTGTGAGGCCAGATTTGAACTCGGGTTTTCCTGACTCCAAGGCCGGAACTCTATCCACTGTGCCACCTACCTGAACCTTAGTCTCATTGGAATTTGCTCCAAGAGGGAATAACATACATACTCAGTTGGGTATAGAAATCTATCTTGCCCTGTAGAGAAGTAGGCAGAGAAAGGGGTAAGAGAAGAGGCAGGGAGGGGACGATGATGGAAGGAAGAGTAGATTGGGGGAGATGGTAGTCAGAAGCAAAACATTTTTGAGGAGGCACAGGGTGAAAGGAGAGAGAAAAAGAGAGAGAGAGAGAGAGATGTGAAAAGTAGGATGGAGGAAAATACACAGTAATCATAACTGTGAAAAAAATTATAGCCAGTTTCTCTGATAAGGCCTCATTTCTCAAATATATAAACAACTGAGTCAGGTTTATAAGAATACAAGTCATTCCCCAATTAATAAATGGTCAAAGGTTGTAAAGAAATCAAAGCCAAATATAGTCACATGAAAAAGTGCTCTCAATCACCATTGATTAGAGAAATGCAAATTAAAACAACTCTGAGGCACCACTTCACACTCATTAGATTGGCTAATATGGTAGAAAAGTAAAATGATAAGTGTTGGTGGGGATGTGGGAAAATTGGGACACTAAAGCACTGTTAGTGGAATTGTGAACTGATCCAGCCATTTTGGAGAGAAATTTGGAATAATGTCCAAAGGGCTATAAAATTGTGCATACCTTTTGACCTTTTCTGGAGGGTAAAGGAGTTAGGCTTACAACTTTTTTTTGCAGAGTTGCCCACCCTGCAAAACTGAATATAATCCTTTAGGGGGAAAATGGATATTTAACGAAATAGAGGACGAATAGATCTATATCCCACAGAGATTTTTTAAAAAAGACAAAAACTAAAAGGACCTATATGTACAAAAATATTTACAGCAGCTCTTATTGTGGCGACGAAGAATTGGAAATTGAAAGGATGCCCATTGGTTGGGGCATGGCTGCGGAATGTGAATGTGAATGGAATGGAATACTATGGTTCCATAAGAAATGATGAGCAGGCAGACTTCAGAAAAACCTGGAAAGGCTTGTGTGAACTGATACATAGTGAAGTGAGCAGAGCCAGGAGATCATTGTGCATAGGAACAGCAGTATTGTACGATGATCAACTGTGAATGACAGCTATTCTCAGCAATGTAATGATGCAAGACAATGCTGAAGGACTCATGATGAAAAATGTTATCCATCTCCAGAGAAAGAACTGATGTGATCTGAATGTAGATCGAAACATCCTTTTTTTTTTTTTGAAGTTTCTTTACTTTTCTTGGTTTTTTTGTTTTTGGTCTCTTTTCCTTTACAGCATGACTAATACAGAAATATGTTTTGCATGACTGCACATGTATAAACTATCTTCAGTTGCTTACCTTTTCAATGAGGGGGACAGGAGGGAAGGAGAGAATTTGGAACTCAAAATTTTTAAAAATGAATGGTAAAAATTGTGTTTACATGCAATTGGAAAAATATTAATTTTAAATTTAATTTAATTTAAATTTAATTTAAATTTAAATTAATTTAAAATATTAATATTAAATTAAATTTAAAAAATCTAGCCACCTTCAGGGATAAATTACTTCTCAATTAGGTAAGAATATGAGTAAATTTATTATGAAGTTTGCATTTGAAAAATTACTTTATTTCAAATATCTACCAGAAGTAGACATAGAACTTAATTTAAAACCTTGCTTCCAAAATTTGTGGTTCATTGATTTTATTTCTAGAACTAGAAAGAGATCAAGATTCACATTAAATTCTGGGACATTTAAAAAATGTTAAGAGACCAAGTTTCTGTATAAATTAAAATCAGTTTTATTGACCACATCTAGAAAGCAGTCAATAAAAACAGGCTCATTTCCCCTCAGTAACCAAAGAGATCAAACCTCGTGAACCTTCGGTATTTATAAAGTCTTTTACTTTTTTTTTTTTTTTTTACCTGCAGCTTCACCTTCTCAACAAGTGCCAAACACTGACTGAGATGACAGCCCAGTTGGTTTTTGGAGATGACATGAGTTTAACCAAACAAAACAGTGTGTGCCATTTTGGCCAATGGATGAGGTGAAACTCCATGGCAAACCTTTGCTATTTCTCTTCCATTTTCTTTGCTCAGGTTTGGTCAGATCACATTTCCCTGGCCAAAGCTTAGAATTACAATAGAGTTCTTTCAAAGGTTACAAGCTAAAGATTAGGAAGTCCATTTGGACCAGCACTTACTACTAATTTCAATTCAGATAACATTTTTACAAAAGTGATTTTTAAAAAATGCTTTTTCCCTATTAAATTATCATATGTTATAATATGTCACAGAGATAGGCACATATTAAGAAGTTCATTAGTAAATGCTCTATAGCTATGTCGTGTATCATCTTGGCAATATTTGACAGTAAACATCTTTACAAGTATTTTTTAAATTTTTTTTGACTCTTTTTTTTTAGTTTTCAACAATCACTTCCATAAACTTTTGAGTTTTAAATTTTCTCCCCCTCCCTCCCCAAGATGGCATGCAAACTGTTGTAGGCTCTACGTGTACATTCCTATTAAACATATTTTCACATTGGTCATGTTGTAAAGAAGAATTAGAATCAATATATGGAAATTTATCTTACCCTACAGGAAAATAGGAGGGGAAGGGGACAAGAGAGCAGGGGAATGATAGAGGGAAGGGCAGATTGGGGGAGGGGGTAATCAGAAGCAAATGCTTCTGAGGAAAGCCAGGTTCAAAAGAAAGAATAGAATAAATGGGGGGCGGGATAGGATTAAGGGAAATAATGAGGGTAGGGAGGGAGGGAGGAAGGGAGAAAATTTGGAACCCAAAGTTTTAAAAACACATGTTAAGAAAAAAATTTGTTTTCACATGCAACTAGGAAATAAGAAATACAGGAAATGGAGTATAGAAATCTATCCTGCCCTATAGGAAAATAGAAGGGGAAAGGGATAAGAGAAAGAGGGGCGAGACAGAAGGGACGGCAGACTAGGGGAAGGGGTATTCCAGAATCCATGCCATCTTGGGGTAGGGGGAGGGGTGAGATAGGGTGAAAATTTGGAACTCAAAATCTTGTGGAAGTGAATGTTGAAAGCTAAAAATAAATAATTTTTTAAAAAAAGAATGATAAACTAGAGTTAAAACCAATAGGAGGAACCACAAGAAAGAAGAAACAAAATGAAAAAGAAGAAAAAAAAAAGAGAGCAAATAGCATGCTTCAATCTGCATCCCAACTCCATAGTTCTTTCTCTGGATGTGGATAGCATTTTCTATCATAAGTCTTTTGGAGTTGTCTTAGATCCTTGCATCTCTGAGAAGGGCTAAATCTATTAGTCATCGAACAGTGTGGCTGTTACTGTGTACAACATTCTCCTGGTTTTGCTCACTTCACTCAGCATCAGTCCATACAAGTCTTTCCAGGTTTTTCTAAAGTCTGCCTGCTCATCATTTCTTATAGCACAGTAGTATTCCATTACATTCATATACCACAACTTGTTTAGCCATTCCCCAGTTGACGGGCATTCCCTCAATTTCCAGTTCTTGGCCACCGCAGAAAGAGCTGCTCTAAACATTTTTGTATATGGGGGTCCTTTTCCCATTTGTATGATCTCTTTGGGATACAGCGCTAGAAGTGCTACTGCTGGGCCATAGGGTATGCACATTTTTATTTTACAAGTATTTTTTTTAAATAAAATCTTTTGAAAAAGGGGTGCACCTGAGGATGAAAATCAACTCTGATTGGTTAACAAGTAATAATAGAGAATGAATACTTTAATGGGAGGTGGGTTATATTAAAATGAGGGTCTTGGGGAATGTGACTAGGAGCACCTAAATCTTGAGAGAGAAATAAAGAGACTTATCAATTTCCATATCAGTTATCGGACCTAAGGGAGAATCCACATTTTCCCAGACCTGTCTGAGTAAACACAATGAAGGAGGAATACATCCATTAGCCCAAACTTAGAGCTTGGCCTGAATAAATTTCCACCTAAGATTTCCCATGCTGGTTGATGTCTGGATGAGGAAATAGAAAAGGGGAAAAACCTTGGTTCTAATACAATAATTAGTTATTAATTATAAGAGAGAAATAATCGTTTCTTAAAATTCACATTAAAAAACAAACACTGTTTTTGTTTTGGAGTTGTGTGTGTGTGTGTGTTCCTGCATGGTGATGCAGCCACAGAGCTGGCCTGGGTGCCATGTAGGCCTGGATTCAGGCCCACCTCTGACCCACATTGGTGGGGCCCCCTCACTGTACCTCTCAGGACTGGGAGCAGCTCTTCAGGCCTCCAAAAAGGTGCTGGGGGACATTGTTCAGAGGGGCTTTCCTCCTGAGACAGTTTTCTGTACCAATGAATTCATAAGGCTAGCTGCCATCTGAATTTCTTTTAATATTTTAAATTTTACATGTCTAGCAAAAGAGCTTGTTTGAGTCATTGGCTAGCAGTGTAATCAGCAAAATAGTGCTAGTTTGAGGGTTTGTAGTTAGGAAACCAAATGACTTCTTTAACTTTGGATAGTGTAGGCTTATTATTTCCCTGAAGATACCTGAGTTTGCTTAACTAAATAAGATGGTGCCATTTGAAACAAGAGAGAATAATTAAATTTCATCATGTCATCAGTCATAACTGACGGTGTTCTTCCACAAGCAGGAGCTGGAGAAGAAGTTCCAGCAGACGGCCGCGTACCGCAGCCTGAAGGAGATTCTCACCAAGAAGAACGAGCAAATTAAAGACCTGAGGAAAAGGCTGGCAAAGTAAGGGGCCCTCTGGGTGGGCCAATTTTCCCTCTTACTGATCATTAACATTTACACAGGACCTGCAGCTTCCTCCCAACAACATCCTGTCAGGTAGATAGGGTGAACATTGCCCTATCTAGGGCCTACATAGGCCCACAAGTGACCTAATCTGGTCATGGTCACATAGTGTAAGGGATGGAGCCAGAGTTAGAACCCAGGCCTCGTGATTCCTGGTTTTCTGTGGTTTTCCACTGGCTCATGCTGCTTCTGATGGCATGCCTACACAGACAAACAACTGCCCAAGTAAAGCATTTACTAAGGTGCTTCAGGCAAGTAGACTTCTGTTGAGAAAAACAAGTGAACCTTGGCCTGAATTATCCCTATTAGCTCTGTAAGTTGATTGAATTATATAGATAATTATGTAAATTCTATTGTACTTGGTGTAGAAGCACATCTTTTCTTTAAAAAAGGTAACTGCTAACAGCCTGGTATTCTACAGTGGTAGCCTGGCCTCTCAGGAATGCCGTTCTATTCACACCCAAACTAGTGGGTGTACAAAGTTCAACCTGCAATGGGAAAGAGACTTTTGCCAAGTTTCCATACTTTAAGTACCAAACTGACTGAATCCATTGCAGTAGTTTGGGGACCTAGAGGATTTCCCAGAAGAGGCAGCTGCCCTGGGATGCCCATCAGGGTGGACCTGAGGCCTTCCGTGATGGAGAGGGGATGCAGCCAGGATGGCCCCTGGAGCCTGCGGTGCTAGCAGGAAAAGGATCAGAGGGGGCGATTCTGCCCATTCAGGTTGGGCCAGGCCCTCTTGACGATTCCCTCCCCTTCTCGAGCTTCTGAGCAGTGGGGGCCATGTCTGCTGATGGCCCACCTAGCAGGTCACCGGGAAGTGACTGAATCGTGGGGTGTGAAAGTTTCCAGAAAAAGGTGGTGGGACGCATGTCCAGAGCAAAGGTAGCTTTTTGCAGGTCAGTCTTCTGGATCTCAGAAAGGCCCCCTCCCAAACAGGTATTTTTCAGACTCCCACACGATTCTAGAGGCCTTTAGGCTTATAAGGGATTTTAGGGGTCATCTGGTCCAGCCTCCCACCCAGGGCAGGGACTGTTGCTGTCAGCATCAGTGACAAATGGTCATCTCGCCTTGAGCTCCTCCTCACAAGGCAGTTATTATTAATAACATTAATGACATTCATAGAGTAAAGGAAGGTTTGCAGAGTGCTTTATATTCATGCATTATCCTGTCTGACCACAGCATTGGCACAGTGGATGGAGTGCTGGACTTAGAATGAGGAAGGCCTGGATTCCAGTCCTGCCTCAGACCCCTGCTGGGGGGAAGCTGAGGGTGGGAGGGGCGGGGGAGAGCCTCAGCTTCCTCCACTCTGTTATGGAAATGATGGGGGCTCTGACCTCTCCAGAGCTTGAGAGGCTCAGATGAGGTCACATGTCAGTGCCAGCTTTTTTTAGTATGTAAATGTCGTTTTTCTGATTGTTCCCATTTTCTAAATGAGGAAGCTGAAAGCTTAACAGATTTGCCCCTTATGGGATGGGATTTGAACCCAGGGCTTCCTGACCCAGGTCCAACTCTCTGTCCACTCTTCTTTCCATTCTGCCATCGTCAGCTTCCATAGTTGTTCCTGTGTTCTGTAACTTGTATGCCTGAATTGGCATAAATATATAAATGTTCTCTTAAAGGAACAGAAGCTCTCTAATCATCAAAATCAGCAATGATAGATTGAATGTTTACAAAGCACTTTCCGGGGGGGCGGGGAGTAGGTTGTATCACTGTCCCCATTTTACAGATCAGATGACAGGCTCAGAGGTCATGTGACCTCCAGTATTTTACTGTAAAAAGTACTTTTGACAAATATGGTTCAGGTGAAAAAATAGTTTAGTTGTTTGTATCTTCAAAATCCAAATGACCACAGTCAACATCATAATCTGAACTTTTATTTCTTCTCAGATATGAAACAGAAGATTAAGAAATATGAAAATTCTGTGATTTGGAAACTGCCACAAAGTGACATGTAGACCGTTGCAATCCTCAGATGTGGACTTGAAAGGGCCTGGGCCCACTTTCCTCTTTTTCTAATGTTTAAATGAGTTGGGCTGTTCGTTGGTTTATTTCAGGAAATGTAGGGGGAGGGGGTGTTGTTAATTTTTGCTTTTCAAGAAAAAGGATTTCTGTTTTCATTTGTTTAATTAGAAAGAAGGCAACATAATGATTCTTATCACTCTGCCATCCAAAGTTTCTTTGCACTTAGGTAATATGAAGTCTCTTCTGTATATAGAATTTCCTTTGAAAATAGTGAGAGTTCCTTCTCAGTGTAGAAAAGATTTTGTTCTGGGAAAGGGAAGAAGAATCTTGCCCTTTTGACGTAAGTATTAAAAATCATACCTTTTGTGTAACTATTAAGGAAGCTGACAATATATGTCTGTGCATTCCCCAGGGGAAAAAGAAGTACAAGGAGTTATTTCCACATAACTGAATTTATTTTTATTAAAAGTTGACCTTAATGCATTTTTCTGGACTTTTGTAGCAGGAGTCTGTCTGTCATTGGAAGCCTAAACCTAAACCAGCCATCATTTATGTCCATGAATTCCCTATTGTACAGCAGCATCAGACCAAGTCTAATCAGTGTCTATGATGTCCTGGTAGGATGCTTTGAAGGATTGTGAGAGATCTTACCGAGAGCCTTTTAGGCCATTTTTTCCAAAAAGGAGGCAGGTCAGCTCTATACTTCTCCAGTCACAGTGAGGAATCAGAGCTCTGTGTCAGAATATTGGGAATTATTAGAAAAAATGAGCACAGGGCATCATTTTTAGTTTTTGGTGCTTAGAATTTTCTCCTGAGCTTCATGCTAAGTAAGAGTACTTTTTTTAAGACTGAATTACATAGAATGTCAAAGCCTGAGAACTAGATTTTTTACCCCACATTGTTACACACAGTGTCAAAAATTGGGAAATACACTCCCAATTCTTCTTCTTCTTGCTGGGTGGCATTGCATTGCTCATTAGAATGTGCACTTTTATCTCCTTAACAGAAATCCAGCATTTAACCCAGTCCTGAGAATCCATTTGATTATTCAGCAAGTTAATTGGTCACACTTTAGAAGTGAATTAGCTCTTCAGGAACCAGAATGTTTCACTCACACCTAATAAACACTGCCTGAAGAGACGTCATTCCTCTCCTCAAAATGATCATTTTCTCCCAGAAAGAAATTGGCTTTTAAGATAAGGCTTATTATCACTGAATTATGTTTCTACGTGTTAATCTCACAATGTATTCTAACGTGTTTTAAAAATATAAAAATATTCTTATAAAAATTTTATTCTTGACTTTTTTTTTTTATGAAGTCAAGAATAAAATTAGTTGAACTTTCCCCAGAAGAGTACAAAGGAACTGTTAAGCGATCTGCCATGGGGAAGAAAAGTAGAGTTTTCAATGTGCATTTATCTTAGATTTTGGCGTCTTTTATTACAGCTCTGTGACTCAGCCTTCCCAGTGTCCTTTTGAACTCTTTTGTTGAACCCTAAGCACGGATTTTAGCAATATTGTCTTTCTCAAGACCTATTAACTATTTACAGTAATGCTTAGAGGTAATGTTATCCTGGGACCAAAAACTCGATCATTCCAGAGCCGTGCTCCCACTTACCTGGGGAGTGAATTTTTTCACTAGTAGGGTTTGAGTATGTTTGCAGTGGTCACATATAGAACTGATTAGCCGTGCTTTGACCTTTTGGTAGTTCCTTGGTAGTAATTCTGCATAGTGTAATATTGGTCCGTCATGTTGGGTTGGCACATCCCCAGGTTAACAAAACGCCTTCATTCTGGGCTCTTCCAATCTCACCTCACCCACCACCAGGTGCACTAATTGGCTGTTATGTGGTCCAGATCAGCACGCTGCTGCTTCATAGCCTAAGCTGGAATTCTGCATTTAACAATCTTCAGCAAAATAAAATGTAAAATTCTCATTTCTTTGCAAATTTTAGCTTTAATATATGCCTCATTTAACAAGGAAGTTTTCTTTTTCTTTTAGGTCTCTTGTTTTCCACTTTTAGGAATATTAGTTCAATCTCCTGAGTGATATGCCATTCAATAATAATGCTTATTTTATTCCTAGCTCCTATCGTCACGGCATCTACTCTGAAAGGACGAGTTTTCTGCTCAATTGTAATGACTCCGACCCTTTGTAGGAAGAATCAAAAAGTTAAGGAGTCTTCATGTGAATTTCTTCTATTCACTATATGTTTATCTTTTTGATTCATATCATGTACGACACCTTTAATCTGTATGTATTAAATAAATCTTAACTCTCTTACGAGGAAAAGAGTTACTCATATCTACACATTAAACTGAAGATGCTCCTTCTGCCCTGTTAAAGGCAGCGTTGGACCGTGGGAAGGGGCTCAGATCCCGGCGTTCCCGTTCACTCACGTTGGATGTTGGGCAAATCCTGACGTCTCTGGACCTTGGGTTCTTCATGTGTTAAATGAGGGGGTGAACTAGCTAAACTCTCAGATCAGTGATCCTGTGCCCCTGACAGAGTCTTGTGCTGCTGTTGAGAAAATGGATTGCAGAAATTTGGCCATAGTAGATTATGGTAGCCTAATTATTAGCTAATACTCAAAGAACTTTTGGTTAAGATGGATGTGTGAATAGTCACAGAATCTGGACAGTAGTAAGTACTTAGTAAGTGCCGGGCACTGTGCTTGGTGCTGGGGATCCCAACAAAGACAAAAGAGCCCCTGCCCTCAAGGAGCTTACAATCTAATGGGGGAGATGATGTGACAGCCATGCACAAACAAGCTAAATACAGGATAAATTAGCAATATAATTAACAGAGAAGGTTTTAGAATTGAGAGGATCTGGAAAGGCTTCACGTAGAAGGTGGGGTTTTAGCCGAGACTTGAAGCCAGGAAGCAAGGAGAAGGAAGAGCATTCCAGGCGAGAGGTCAATGAAAATGCCCAGGGAGGAGGCAGGAAACAGAGTGTCTTGTTCAAGAAACAGGAGGCCGGTGTCAGTGGATTGAAAGGGGAGGTGGGGGTCTCGAGAGGTACAAGAAGGTGGAAGGTGGAAAGGGGAGGGGTGGGGGCACGTGGACAAAGCTGCCCTTTAGGAGGATCACCGACTGCTGAGTGGAGGATGGACCGGAGTGGGGAGAAACAAGGCAGACAGATCAACCTGTTGTGAGGTGGTAAGGGTCTGCATGAGGGCAGCAGCAGAGAAGAGGGGTGGGCTTATAGAGATGCTGTAAAGGGGAAATTGACAGACCTTGGCAACAGGCTGGATATGGGGTGGGGTTGGGGTGAGAGGGACACCAGGGTTGGGAGCCTGGGGAACAGGGAGGATGGTGGTGCCCTCCACCGTCATAGGGAAGATGGAAGAAGGGAGGGTTTGGAGAGAGCAGTAGTGGATAAGGGCAGTCCTTCACCCAGTGATATCTTACTGGAAGGGCAAGCAGGAACAACTTGAACAGTGGCAAAGGACCCATATGGTACCCATGGAAGGCACCCTGCCTCTTTCCTCTCTGTGACCTCCCTTCACAAACATCTATTACATTTAGGTCTTGATTTACTTTAGATTTTCAATATCTATACCATTTCCTGCAAATCACCCTCAGCCTGGCTAACGAAGGCTATGCTAGGGTGCCACCGCAGATCTGAGATTCCTTGAAGGACGATCATCGCCCCCCCACCTCCCCATCTTACATCAGTGTCTGGGTGTGTCCTTCAGCTTTCTCAGACTGCCCATTCCTGCCAATCTGTATTAGAAACGGCATTGACCCTGCAGCATTTAGCCATTCTTATCAAGCTTGTTAGAATCACGTGTAAAATAAAAGTGAATGGCCTCCGAGTGAGAGCTGGAAAAGCTCTCACCTTGGGTAGAATACTGAACACAGAAATGCTCATCTCCCTCTGGAGCAACAATTCCTCTACTGTTTCTTTATCCCACTGGGGCCGGGATTGGGGAGGGGGGAGGGAGAGGAGAGGCAGAGAAAGACAGAGGTGGAGAGGGAGACAGAGAGGGAAGGAGGTAGGGAGGGAGAGAAAGACATGGAGAGAGGGAAGGAGAGATATGGAGAGAGGGAGGGAGAGGGAAAGAGAAGGAGGGAGGGAAAGAGAGAGAGAGGGAGGGAGTCAGAGAGACAGACAGACATAGGGAGGGAGAGAGATAGAGGAGGAAAGGAGGGAGGGAGAGGGAGAGACATGAAAAGAGAGAGGGAGGCAGAGAGAGAGAGGGAGAGAGGGGGAGAGAGATGGAGAGACAGAGAGAGAGGAGGGAGGGAGGGAGGGAGAGATTTTTCTGGATTCCACAGTCTCAAGACATTAAATCTTAGTTGAATTATTTTTGTGCTTGTGAAATGAGGCGTATGTGTTGTGTGTGTTCTGCAAACATGGGATTGAGAGAGAGCCATTTCCCTTGGATTAAATGAGGGAGTGAACCCCAGGCCCCACAATAGGGCCTTGTTTGAGTCAGTCCGGTGGCGCCTCACCAGACGTAGCATCACAGCAGGGCCTGAACCATTTACTCGAATGGTTTGGTGCACTTTGGCCCCCCAAAATATTTTCGGAGGTCTTGGACATCTATTTTTCTCATATAAATTACAGTTTCCAGTTAATTCTGATTGCCTGTGCTGGGGGAAAAAAATCAGAAATTTAGCCAAAGTCAAGGAAAGAATTTAAGGATTAATCAGCCGTCTCTCCGCTACCCGCTGTTTCCTTCACATTTCTTAATGAGCGGCTGTGGCCCATTTAAAGTAGCTTGTCTTTGGAGGGCACCCAGAAAGAAGTCATAATAGTTTTTAATTAAGCCAACTTTGTCCATAGGTTTCAGATGAGCTCCCCTGGCCTGCAGTCCAGGCCCTTTGAAGCAGCCCCCGCTGTGTACTGTTCCCACCAGTTATTTATGAGAACCTACGCATCAGTTTATGTAAAAAACAGTCAAGGTCGTGCTACATTACTGTCTGGGGGGTGGGGGTTGGGAAAGGAAGTGGGGGAGGGGATGTCCAGGTTAGGGACAAATGAAAAGGGAACGAGATGGAGAGATAGCGTTTCTAATTCCTTTAAGACTCGGCCTGATTTTCGTTATTTACTTATCTCTGTATAGGTATTCTCTCCCCTGTCCCAGTGGAATTTAAGCCCCTTGAGGGCAAGAATTGTTTCCTTTTTGTCTTTGTACCCCAGGGATTAGTGCAGTTGGTAGGCTCAAATCACAGCAATAGAAGGCACTTAATAAGTGTTGGCTAAATCAGATTGAAGTGAATTGAATTTTCCTTTAGCCAGCTTCCACATATCTTTCAGGCCCTGGGCATGCAGGCCAACACTTATTTTCATGGAGGTTGGAAACATTTATTTTAGTCTTTCCATAATGTTTTGCACATAGAGGATTCTTTGTTTAGGATTGTTAAAAAAAAAAACTTTGTCTAAAATAGCATTCTTGCTGATTTAAGTGGAATGAATGAAGTTGTCTCTTCATTTTCCTAAAGTCGCCCAGAAAAGTCAGGAGCCAAGCTCAAAACAGCCTCCTGGCCAGGGACCTTCAGGTGAATCCCAGCTCCACTAGGCCGCTGATCAGAGGCCACATATCCTTCACTTTAGACCCTCCTCCAGGCCTTTCAGGCCAATCAGACAATTGCAGAAGGCTGGGTTTATTTTCTTACCCACTTTCAAGTGTTTTAGAATGTTTGTCTACCAGGACTATATAAATAGATCAGTATTTTCCCCACACCATTTTGTGGAGGAAGAAATTAACTTATAAGCAAGTTATACTCATGAGGATCAGAGCAATAGCATAACCTAAGAGATCATCTCTTGTGGCCCTTTTCTCTTATTTTATAAATATGGAAACTGAGGCCCAGGGAGGTGACGTGGCTTATCCCAAAGCCATATGATTAGTAAATGGTAAAGCTAGTTTCTCTCTATAACAATCTTTTTGTCTCTCTCTTTTAGTACTACCGACTCCTGAGAGTACGTGATTAAAAAAAAAAAAAGTCACGTCTCCCACTTGTCCCTTTAGCTTTGACCTCTCCATGGGGTTGGGGGAGGGAAAAGAGAGGAAGACCCCCATGACCTCCCTCTTCCCTCCATGTCCTCCCTAGAGATCCTCCGTAGCTCCAGCTCTAGGAGGGAATGAATGCTTCTTCCCTTCTGGCTGTCTGGATAGAAAGACAGCTCCCAAAGTCTTCAGAAGCAGGCCCACGTGGAGGTGGCCACGAGAGGCCTGCTGTTTTCTGACTCCAAATCCAATACTCTTCGTCGATCAATGCCTTTCTTCATTTTTGGAAAATGAATGATTATCAATCACAAACCCACTTGGATTCGTAAACGACCACAAAGATATGCAACACCAGAAAAATGTGTCTCATGGAAAATATAAATTAAATTGTCCTTGAATCAATTCAGTTAAATAGATATTACGTATCTCCTGAATGAAAAACAGTGGGCTAAGCCCTGAGGCTACAGAAATCAAAATGGCGCCTGCCCTCAAGGGGCTTACATTATTCTGAAGGGGAGGTAGGGATACAAGATGGCAACGTGTGCACGTGGGCATACTGTGAAATAGGGAGGGGGGAGATTGGAGAGAAATCAAAGAACGCCAGGTAAATCTGAGGAGAAAGACCTTGAACCGGGAGGACTGAGAAGCTGTGGCAAGTATCCTACCCTCATTTCCAGCTCTGTACAGTAAAGTTAGAGCCATTTTCAGAAGCACCTGTGGTTAAAATAGTGATTTCTTTAATACATCAAAAGGAGAACTCAGTTGATCAAAAAGCATTTATTAAGAGTTTACTATGGGCAGGCAGGTGGCACAGGCCTGGAGTCAGGAAGACCTGAATTCAAATCCAGCCTCAGACACTTACTAGCTGTGTGACCCTGGGCAAGTCACTTCACCCTGTTGGCCTCAGTTTGCTCATCTGTAAAATGAGCTGGAGAAGGAAATGGCAAACCACCCCAGCATCTTTGTCAAGAAAACCCCAGATGGAGTCACGAAGAGTCAGACGTGACAGAACAAGAAAATGCCAGGGGCTGTGCTAAAGGGCTGGGAATACAGTTCCTGTCCCCAAGAAGCTTACTTTTAATGGGGAAAGACAACAGCTGAAAAATTGATCGAGATAGGAAAAAGACACCTACCTCAGGGACAAAAAAGAGGAAGTTAGGAGTATGCAGCTTTGAGGGGAATGAGACGTGGCTGGCTTGAGAGCCCTTCTTATATGGAAGTTCTGAGAGAAGCCATTGGATGCTGGAATGGAGACAGTTCAGTCCAGCTAGAGAGAGTCTATGGTTAAATTTTCAGTGTGAACATTGAGACCTCAGACTTTG